GGAGACGTCGGACAGTGTAAGATATGACAAAATAATAACTTATAAATTATGAAGGGTTCACGAGGGAGTGGGGAGCGGGGAGGGAGAGGGAAAAATGAGGAGCTGATGCCAGGGGCTTACGTGGAGAGCAAATGTTTTGAGAATGATGAGGGTAACGAATGTACAAATGTGCTTGACACAATTGATGTGTGTATGGATTGTGATAAGAGTTGTATGAGCCCTCGATAAAATGATTTTTTTAAAAGTACCATTGACAGATAATTAGACAGCGATGAAGGAAAGAGGTGGCAAGTCAGAAACAAAGTCAGAAACTGAGCACAGAGAAGGATCAAGACCAGTATATGAAATGTATTACCTGTTCCAAGTTTTGAAGGCATTGCTGGCTCGTTTGAATAGATATCCTTCCATAACAATGCCATTTGCGGCATCTACATTATACTCTAGCTTAGAATCATCACTGGAGAAATCCTAGAGAAAAGAACACATAAAAATATTCATGTGATTTGACCAAGTTCCCTCACCAACAAACCCACCCTAGGGAAACAGCTCAAACAGAAGAAACACTTTGCAATGAGATGGATTATGATGTTATTCCTAAGAGAAAGATACTAAAATGTTTGATAGTAGAAAAACGCAACATGTTATGGTTATTTGAATTCAACAACATGCTATTATACAATTAGCATGATAGAGTAAAAAAATTAAAGATTACATAGAATACACTATAAAGGAGGGGAAAAAGGTAGATAAACGCAGATTAAAACATACAAAAGGTTCCTAGAGGGCAGGGTGGGGGAGAGAGGGGATAAATGGGAATTGATATCAAAGAGTTCAAGAAGAAAGAAAATGTTTTGAAAAGGATGGTGGCAGAAATTTTACAATGTTTGAACTAATTGAATTATGGATTGTTATAATATCTGTAAAAGTTCCCAATAAAATGATTTTTTAAAAACTTACAAAGAAATATGTATACAAACAAACCAAGGGAACTAAATATTAGAAAGCATGTTATGTTTGTATATGTCTTCATTTAAGGTGATATGCACCAACTGTTGTGTTGAAAGAGCATTAAAAACAAACGAACAGTGACCATGAGTCAGTTTCTACTGTGTGTCAGAGTAAGAACTATGCTCCACAGGGTTCTCACTGGCTGCATTTTGAAAGTGGATCGACCTTTTTTATGGCAATCATACACATTAACCATTTTCCTTACCCATGGGCTCCCAACATGGCACACATAGGCAATCGAGTCAATTCTGACTCGTAGGCATCCTACAGGACAGAGTGGAATGAACCCCTTAGAATTTCCAACACTATAAATCATTACCAAAATAGATTGCCATGTCTTTCTCCAGAGGAGTGGCTGGTGGGTTTTAACCAATGTTAGCAATTGAGTGCTTAATCACTGCACCACCAAAGTCCCTTCAAAGGAGGATGCACTATAGATAAATACTTGAGATTATTAAAATATTTTATAAATGCTTTTTTTCTACTATTTATGTATACTTTACCATTATTTTCTCATTTAATTAACATACTAATTTTTTAATCTAATAGGACAAATAACTACAAAGTGCATAAATAAGATAAAAGATAAAGGATTGATAATA